GAAATCACATGATTGCGCAAATTTTTTTGATTGTAAATTTTTTCTCAAAGCTGTTGCCAAAGTACAGTAAATTGTGGTTCTAGCTGTCATATATGATGGTGATTTATCATGCAAAATTTTTTTGGCCTAAAAATAAATAAAATGATAAAATCAATAAATAATTTTTTAAAAAAAAAAAGTTTTCAAGAAATAAATTGTTTTAGCTAACACACAGTTAATTTATTTAAAGAATTTTCAAATTGATCATATTCTTTCCAAATTTGCTCAACATTATTTAATGGTATGCATATAGCTTTTTGATAAATTTTTCTCAATGTATCCATTTTCTGTTGTTCTGCCCAAGTATTATGAGTTTCACCGGTTTTAATAAATTGAATATAATCATTCCATATTGTGCCAGAATCCTTATCCAAACCAATCAGATGTATAACAAATTCATAAGCTTTTATAATTATGTCTCTGGCTTCAGGTGAAATCGCCCCTGAATCTGTTGTATTTTTTTCTAAAATATAATTCAAGTAAAATTTACATAAATCAACAGATAAAACAGTACGAATGCAACGTGTAAATATTGATTCCACTTTATCAAAATTCTTGTTCTTGAGTTCATATTCTGCATATTGTATCCATTGTTTGGGCTAATTAAATAAATTTATAAAAATATTATTAAAAATACTTGTGTTTATTTATGTTATATGTTTAAATTATATTTATAATAAAGAAAAAAAAATCTGAATGAATGTTTTATTAAGTATATTAAATAATATGAAAATTATAATAAGTGGATATACAGAAAATAATAACAATAATAATGAATTTAATTTAAAAGAACTATTTTCAAAAAAAAATATTATCTTAATTAGCTTTCATGTATAAAAAAAACATTGAATGCAATTAAACAAAAATTAGATGTGAAATTTGTTTATCTAGAAAAAAGAAATTGAGTAAAGACTTACTGATGTTGGAAAATGTTGTAAAAATTTTTCGTATATATATCTAACTTTATCTTCATCTTTTGACTTCACTTCAACTAAAAGTTCTTCCCATACATCTTTATTATAAATATTTTTAGAAATAAGTTTTTCAAATTTTTCGATGCTCATTTTTTTTTTTGTTATTGCTTATGTTGGAAAATTGTTTTTTTTATATTTATATGTATTACAAAATTTCTCCAATAAGAAATGATCCCGATTTATTTTCCTTTTTTTCCTTTGACCCGTTGGTTTTCATTTATTGATTGAAACCTATCAACTTCGTACTAGCACAATACAAATAACTTTTAATGTTTAAACAAGCCTTTAATGAATGGGTTTTTTAAAGATCAAAAGATATTTATTTCTTGATATAAAACATTTGTTTTACTTGACGGGTTTATTATTGTTGAATGCGCAGTAAGTTCTGACCCCTAATATATAGTCATGTGAGACATGAGATTTTTGTCAGGCACTAGCATTTCACTCAACTAATGTATGGGACGTAAATGCCTGGTTACCTCTTGGACTCTTTGTCTAAAAAATAATTGTTTTTCCAAAACTAATGACACCATGCATATTAATATAAATAATTAACATAAATAATTAGTTAAATGTGTAAAATTTACTTTTATTTTCGAAAAAAAAAGTCACACACAGTGAATTGGAGCTTAGGTCTTATCAATTAGTTTACAAAGGGTTCATTATTAAGATGTATATGAAAAGACACATTACAAGTTGTACAAACATGAAATATTTCTAATCAATGAATTGTTGGCTAGACATAAATCAATATTCTTACATATTAATATAGACTGGCTTTTTTGTCATAGTTATGTCAAACAACCGTGTCAACACTTCACACATATATGACGTTTCATTTTATTGTGGACAAATGACCTATACTAGATGCCTAAAAAGTATGCCGAGTCTCAATCGTTTAATCCCACAGATGTGATGCAATAGTGTATTAGTGAATTACAGGACCTCAAAAATCTACATCGTTATTGCTTCTAATTTTTTCGACAAGTCTATCCATTTCCTGAAAGTTTCTATATAAAGTGATGATGCCACCACCTCTTTTGTGAGTATACGACTATCTTCCTCAAGAGTGAACTTTTCAAAAGAACGCTTAGCTTTTGGTTTTTTTCTATTACAAATTTATCGACCCCTTCCTACAAAAAAGGAAAAGTGAAAAGGTAAATTTAAACTCAGATATATTATTTTATCATTCGAATTCAGAGTCTAAAATTCCTAATTTACTCACATCTAATTGATTGATTCTCCTCTATCACCTCTTCCAATGATTTATTTACCTAGTAGTATAAATTGCTCCAATATCAATTTTTTTAGGACATCTTTTTAAAATATCATTTTCTTAATCCTTCAATGTTATCATATGGGCAATATCTTGAAAACACATTTTCATACAATCTAAACTAAAATTCACGATTATGGAATGATTTGCCAAAAAAATATTATTATTATTAATTATAATAATTATTTATAAGGAAAAAAAAAGCCTGATAAAAAAAAACGCGTAAATCATTGGAGAAATCATTCAATGATCACCGTCATTTTTTAAATTCAAAAACAATCATTTCTTGAGTTTTTTTCAGACGGCTTTTTTAAAAGTTATCACAAATTACTAAGATTAATATTCAATTTATAAAAATAAAAATATATCCAAATGTCGAACAACTTTTCATCTGTTGAAAACATCACAAAACTAATTAACAACCTTATTGATTCAAACAAAGATGCTTTGCCTTTACAACATATTAGTAAACTTGTAAATGATTTAACAAAGTTGTTGAATGAAACAGACATTCACGATGTAGAAATTAAAATTGGAGGAGGTCAATATGATGTCAAAATTTTCAAGGCTCATTCTAACATCTTAAAAGCAAGGTCTTTATACTTTAAAGCAGCTTTATCAACTAATTGGGTTAAAAAGTCTGATGATGGTACTATTTTATTCGAGAAAGATAACATTTCTCCAAAAGTGTTTGAGGTTCTTTTAACGTGAGATTAATTAACTTAATATTGATTGGTTTAAAAGATAACAATATAAATTTTTTTTGAATGAAATATCTAAACATTTATTATTATCTTTTTTATTAAAAGGTATATTTATAATGGGATTATTAATACAAATAATTTGGATTTTTACGAAATAGTTGAACTTCTTGTGGCATCTGATGAACTAAATTTTAATGAACTACTTGACAGCTTACAAAAATACTTAATTGTAGAAATGCAATTTTTGATTCAACAGTGGCATTTAAACTATCTTTATCAAATTTCATCAAGATATCAATCATTTAGCATACTTAAAGACTACTTTGAAAAATTAATTAGATATAGACCAAGATTATTCTTAGAATCTAATGATTTCAATGATATTGAAAAACCAATGTTTATATCTATATTAAAAAATAATTGCTTAAATTTAAAGGAAATTTTTATTTGGGATTGTGTCATCAAATGGGGAATTGAACAAGTTAAAAATTCAAGAGAAGAAAAAATTATTTCAATGTGGAATGAAAATGATTACAAAGAGTTAAAAAATGTACTAGTAGATATTATTCCTTTAATTCAATTCCAGGATATCTCTAATGAAGATTTTTCTGATAAAATTGTACCATATCAAATGCTTTTTTCTAAAGTTTTATGGAAAACTCTTTTAGATTATTATTTGGCTCCTGCTGATGCAGAACAAACATTAGATTTATTATCACCAAGGAATTTGAAAGTTGAATCAAAGACAACCAACCATAAGCTTATTTTGTTTTTTGCAAGTTTGATTGATAGGAAAAATTCACCATACACATCATTTGGGGATGTCAAATATAAATTTAGGCTTCTATATAGTAGTAGTAGAGATGGTTTAGGAGGAAGAAGCTTTGCTGGAAAATGTGGTTTCGAAGAAAAAACTCTTGTAGTTGCTAGAATACAAAAGTCAGAGCAATTAGTTGGTGGTTACAACCCACTTGATTGGTGTGGATTGGAGCATAGGCATACAACTGAAAGTTTTATATTTAATATAACTAATAGAAATGATATTATTAATACTGCACAATTTAGTTATGTTAGGAATCATGCAATTTTTCGTAATTATTTTAATTTACCCAAGTTTGGTAGGGATGTTTGTTTTAATACAGATGGTAGTATTCATAGTAGTCCAGAGGCTTATAATAATATCAATATAATCCATAATAGTAAATATGATGAATTAGAAGTTTTTCATATAATTAATAAATAAAAGATACATGTAAAATAATAAATATTATAATTTACTTTAATTCTTCAACAGATCATTTAAGGGTAGGGGGAATTATGTGTCAATTTATATGTATATCTGCAACTCAAGAATCATTCATGTATGATGAGTAAAGAAATAATCATTTTGGGCCTAATATGCCCTGTCTTCCTGATGCACAAGTGGCATCATTGATTTTATTAATAATTTAACATCTTCATGTGTGGTCAGATTCATAGGATCAGGCCATGCATGCAGGAGCTGTTTCAATATACCAATATCATCATCACTCCATTTGTCCAAACAATGATATCCAACCCAAATGTAGATAGGCAACATTGTTCCCCATACTCTTTAAGTTGTGCCCTCTTTTTTGATCTTGTGTTTGAGCTTGGCAAGTTGTCAACATGGAGTGGTCATAATTCTGGTATTGGAGCATCCAGTTGGAAATATAAAGATAGGTATGGGTTGCGATTTTTCCCTGTGATTCTGCCTTTGAAGGCATGCTCTTTTGAGAGTTTACTTGTAGCCGAAGCAGTCCAATCATAATCATCATGAAACTGATTCCAATTCTTGATTTGGATCTGAAAGTAAGACATTGAATCAAGTGATATAGTATTAGATCCATCCCAATCCAACAGAACTGGAAGTACCAAGTCAACTCCTGCTTGGTTATGCTTACATATAACAGCTGCAAAACAAATGAATAAACTCTTTAATTCTATCTGGGTTGGGGTGTAAATAAGTGGAATAAAATGTGTAAATGCAAGTAAAACATCTGCAAACTTTTGGTGGAGGCTTGAATATTATTGTTATAGTTATCCTGGCCAAAATGAGATGTCAAGAAATCCTTCACTCTAATTGGTTGTGAAACAAACTCTCTCATGTATCCCAAATTTTCCAAGTGTAATGATATTGATGATGATGATGATGATGATCCTCTACTTCCAGTAGCTTGGTCCCAAGCAATCATCAAAAGTAGATGGACAACCAATTCCCTACAATAACCAGGTTCCACATACCCAGTATGTATATAGTACATCCAGTAAAAAGTTGAGTAATTTTTTGAACACATTTTTATGTTGCATAAGTGATGCAGCAGCCTCAGCAACTATTGGTTCAGGTGGATATATTACCAATAGTTATGCACCACATTGGAACACTGGACTGGAATTTTCATATTCTGGTGATTCCAGTGTTACTAACCCTTTTTGATAAAATTTTTTTTTTAAAAAAAAAAGTCAAGAAAGCTTTGCAGAAAACCAAATCATGTATTTTATGAATAAGGTTGTGGGCATGAAACCTCAGAAAAACTATATTAAATCTTATCAAAAATCCTGTTGAAACTATGCCGAAATGGCAAAACCTCAAAATGTGAAACTCTGCTGAAACTCTAATAAACAATTAATGTGTAACCTGCTGAAACCCTGCTGATTGATTTCTGGAGGAGTTTTGGCAAGCAACCTTATTCATGAATTTTTTTATACTGATAAAAATATAAAGATAATCAGAACAATTATCTTGCAATCTGTAAAGGATGTACAACAAAAAAAGATTCAATAATGCTAAAACAAAAATTTCAAAATTTCAAACACAATGAAAAGCATTGGGAAACACTTGTTAGATCATGAAAATTTTAAAGCTTGCTATTCTGATAAAATTGAATTTGTAGAAAATCATCTTGAAATAATCAAACAAAAAGAATTGCAAAATAGATCAAATGATCTAGTAAATATTTAACAATTTAATTAATAAAATTACTAGAATAATAGATGAGAATTTTTTTTATATATGTATACATATATTTATTTACATATTAATATATATATATGATTAATTGTATTAGGTGATACTGGTATTATTAATGTCGAAGATAATATTTTTTCAGAAATTTCTACTTTTAAACATGTAAGAAATGATTCTACAACAAACCAATCAACATTAAATCATTATCTTGGTAGGCCTTTACAACCAAGTGAACAACAAATATTTGAAATGTTATTGTTAAGAATGACAGTCTCTATTGGCTAGTCATTCCAATGGGTAGAAAATGAAGAAACAATTGCTTTCTTTAAATTTGTTTACCCATTAAAAATTTTAAATTTTTTCTTTACAAATTTTGTGAATAAAAATAAAAAATTCCATTGGCTGAATTCCTTTAAATTCCAGTGAAAAAGACTGGAGCACCAGAACACTGGAACAATGGAACACATAATTCCAGATTCCGAATTCCATTGCATAACAACACTGGTTGGTACCATTCCAGTAATTTCTAATCATTTCACCTTTATGTGGCCAACTGGTGAGAATGAAGGAATTATAGAAGCTTATGAAATACCAAATTATGGAAAATCAAAAATATATTCAGTTTCTGATATAAAAAACTTCTCAAAAACAATGATATATATAAATCAACCTAACTCAATAGCCATTGACCAAACAAGTGCTCAGTTAGAATGGAAATGAATATATCTTCACAATTAATTCATATATTCAAACATTAACAGCCTCTGAAGTAAGATCCAAACTTCAAGAAAAAATTTTGAATTCCTCTGGAGGTAAATCAGTCATAAAACAGAGATTGGATCAATTTACTAATTTTGAGCCAATAAATATTACATTATTTCAAATGATGACTTAAAAAATTTATTGCATAAAAATTTAATATCTGGATTTGCCCTAAGGAGTAAACAAAAGTTTGGAAAAAAAGGTGGTAAAAGACTAAATTTAAATGCAATTGAAAAATTGAAAGAAATGTTCCTGGCTGGTAATATAGAGAAAAGTAATAAATTCTCACCAGAAGATATGTTGAAACAACTTGAAAAACATGCTGAAAACAATGAAATAAAAAGCTGATAATCTTCCCACTCTCCAACAAATTAAATCGTGGATATCTCAATTTAACCATCATCACAAAAAACAAGCAGCTGAAGTTGCTAGCACTGGCTCTAATTAATGTAAAATTATCTTTCACATATATATTAAAAATTGTTATTTAATGAAAAAATTAAATATTATGTATAATAAATGTTTTTAACTTACCTTAAAGCCTTGAAAAATGTTTTTTTTATTTATATATAATTGTAATTTTAACAACAATAATAAAAATAAATGCTTTATTTTAACAATGTACTTTTTATATGCAAGATGATGGAGGTAATCAGTCTGAATATATTTGATAAACAAGTTGAGTAAACCACCTACCTCCAAGAATAAAGTCTTGTTTTTTTCTTTTTTATGATTGTAATTACTAATAGTGTTCCATGTTGCAACCAAAAAAAGGAAACAAAATGGTCATAAAGGTGGTTGCAATCATTTTTATATGATGCAAAGATGGTAGCAACCGTCACCAAAAGTTGCAGCCGGTATTCTTAATTACTAATTAGAATCCAATATTTAATGTAATAAATGACAAACATTACATGTAAAAATATATATGAAAATTCTCTAAATCAACAGGTACCAAAGAATATCTATTTTTCTTCACTTGATTAAAGGCAATAAAAAAATTATTTATATATTCTTTGGGATATGTTTTATTTGTACATTAAAAAAAAATTATGTAGTGGGAATTAAGATTGTGGGCAAAACTCCTCCAGAAATCAGGGGTTTTGTGTATATACTAATTGTTCGAGTTTTGAAAGAGATTTGACAGTCAAAGAGGTTTTAGCAAGCAACCTTAAGTGGAATAAAAGTATAGTACATGCAAAGGTATTTAATTAGTCATTTTGCGTCAATTTTTCTCTATGTATGACTCTCTCATTTATTCATGGATCGTCAATTATTATAGCCGATTTTTCCCGTTCATTGAATGATCGTCAATAATCACGCGTCCAGTCTTTCCTTTCTGGAAATCACATGATTGCGCAAATTTTTTTGATTGTAAATTTTTTCTCAAAGCTGTTGCCAAAGTACAGTAAATTGTGGGACTAGGCTTTTTTTTAAAAGTTACATTCATTTGTTATAAATAAAAAAAATTATGCATATACAAATAAATCAATAATTATTATTTGTCAATCATATCCAAATCATATATACTACAATACAATTTCTTAAATAGGAATAAACACACTGGTCTTGGGGAAATCCTTGCTCCCAGTAAAAAAAAATGAATGAGGGTATTTTTTTCTTAGAAAATAACTATTTTAAAAATATGTAGTATTTTTACATCATATTTAATAATTTGCTTTATAATAAAATGGGGCATACTGCAACAAAACCAGACAAAGTGAACATTGGTATTACCAAGGATTTCAGGGATCAAAATTTAGTCATTTGTAATGTGATTATAATTATATATCAGTTTTATAATATTCCATTTGTTATCTTAAGTGATATACAGAACTACCCCTATATAAAAATAATTAATATGAAACTCATTTACATCAGATCTACTATGGAACCCAAGAATTATAGTACCATTAGAAGTATTCTGAAGAAAGAACAAGGTGAAAAAATTGCTCCTTAAATTTTCAAAATAAATGATACTCAGACACTGGAAGCTTATCTAAAAAAAGAAAAGCAGAGTGAAAGTGTACTATTACCCAACAAAAAGCCAAAATCTTTAAAAGGAAAATAGCTACCATTTGATAGTTGGAATGAATTTCAATTTATACAAAGGGAAATTTCCTCAATTACTTTTTTATTTTCAATCAAGATCATCTTTTAGTCTCTTTGACTTCAATTTGAGCAGTT